CTCCAAGAGGTGGAAGATTGGTTGTACGAGGATGGTGAGGATGAAACCAAAGGTGTCTATATTGCTAAACTGGAGGAACTCAAGAAGGTAGTCTTGTGTTTATTTGTTAGTGATTACTGCGTCTTTAATTTCTGACCTTCATATGAGAGGACATCATTTTAAGAATGTGTCAAATATCCTGCAGCTAGGTGATCCCATTGAGTTGCGATACAAGGAGCATATGGAGAGGGGACCTGTAATTGATCAACTTATTTATTGCATCAACAGTTACAGAGAGGCTGCAATGTCAAATGATCCAAAATTTGATCACATTGATATGGCAGATAAGCAAAAGGTATCCTCTCTGGCGCACTCCCCTTCCTCCTCAGAAGTAGGCTCGTGTGTTATAACTGGTACTACTGTTAATGGATTGTGATTTACTTTACATCACTGTACCAGGTTTTGAATGAATGCGTCGAAGCAGAGGCTTGGCTAAGAGAGAAAAAGCAGCAGCAGGATGCACTTCCCAAGTATGCAATGCAAGTTCTTTTGTCCGCTGATGTCAGGAAAAAAGCTGAAGCTCTCGATAGGTATTCTTTCATTTAACCGTCGAGTAATTATGAGCCATTTTCTATTAAGTTGTGGGTTTGCCGTCTATTGTCTAAATGCTATTTTTGTGTCTTTGCGGCATGGTGGGGAAGATGCTAAATAGCTTGCTAGTACGCCTGTTTGTTTTTGTTCTAGTAAATTACAAACTATTTGGTCTCTAATGAAAATACAACTTGCCTTGGCAGGCTTTGCAGGCCAATAATGATGAAGCCAAAGCCGGTGAAGCCAGCTACTCCTGAAGCACCCTCACCAGCATCCTCTCAAGGAGGCGAGTCCCAATCTCATGGAGCAGAGAACCCTAACTCAAGCCCTGGCCAGAACACTGATGAATCTAGAAATGAAGCATCATCCACGGAGCCCATGGAAACCGATAAGTCTCAAGAGTGACCCAATTGCTGCATAATGTGTTTGTCCTGTTGCTATATCTATATTTCTTGCTGGGCTTGTATGGCCTCGTCTGTACGAGTAGCAATCAGCGACTGGAACTTTTTTGTGGCTGCGATATGTTTGCTGGAACTTGTTTCTTTGGATAATGTATATCTCTATAATCCTGTTTTACAGAAGGGTTTGTGAGAGAGAACCTAAATGACTATGATATGATATTCCTTTGCCTGCGTATTCTTCTGCACAAAAATGACCTGTCCTGATGTTTATTGATTAAAATTTCCCATTTCTGATATAGACTTTCTTTCTGTATTTGATTTTGATTTTCCAATTAAATTAGATTTTGTTTTCGTTAAAGAGAGGCTTTTTATATTTTATGTTCACGGATGTGATATTTCATTTCTGATAGTCAACATTAATAGGAAATGTTCGCGAATAAAGTCGAAATTTGTTGTCCCGTCAGTATATTTTTGACACTATACATTTATTGTACTCTCCATCAATTTTTAGTTTCTAAAACCATATAAAGAAGATAAACCCATTCTGGGATTTTAACGTATATGTATCATTGTTCTTTTTCGGTTGGATTTTAATTTGCGCTTGGAAAATTTGGATCCAGTATTTTCGGGTTTGGGTTCGCAAAATTGAGGACTTCATCAAGTTCAAATTTGATTCTTTTGAGGGTTTTGGGTGTCGTCAACAAATGGAATTTATAAATGTTTTTGTAATTATGTGGAATAAGTGACTTTTCAATTGTAGTTTTGATGTTTAAAATCTCCTTATTACTGTTTACAAGGTTTATGGTATATAATCAGATGAAAAATAGAAAAAAATTTCAGAGCAACGAGTTAGAATTGCAGATTTGTGATTTGAGTAATGCTATTCAATTTTACGGGTGCTTAGTCCTGATTTATGTGGTGTTGTCGTTAGCACTTATATGCCTGATAAGTTACGATGCAATATATGCATTGAGTTCCTGTTTGGTTCCCATTTTTTTAACATTGAAATGAAAAATATGACAGTTATTTATCATTTCAAGCCATCAAATTTGAATTTCTATCTCTTGTGTGGAGTCCGTAACGATTATATTTTTCATTTTCATTCTTTTAAAAATGATAAACAAACGGGGGCTGAATGATAGATAAATACACAGATTGGGGTTAAGTATTAATGGAACCTAGTGATATTTTTCTGATTTGTAGTAGTAATGTAAAAATAATGCTATTTGTAGTTACTTACTAATGTCGTTGTTCCATGTGACACGTATGTGAGGGTTAATGATTTGATATGTGAGGCAAAAAAAAAAAAAAAAAAACTACCAAATTAATACATCACAAATTGTCAAGTAGGGCAATTATCTTAGTGAGCGATTATGAAAAGTAATGTAGTCGTACACTATGTTGAAAATGTGTCTGATTACATAGCCTGTCAAGAAAAAATTGGCGGGACAAAGAAAAAGGGAAAATAGGACAGTAAAATTCAGTGACATTATAGTTTTGAGAAATAATTTATGTTCCTTGATGCCTTTAATATGGTATCTGATGAAAATACTTCGTTAAGCAAAAAATCAAGAATTGTAAATTTCACATTAAGAAAGCGAAAAAGGGCAATCGAATATCTAAACCTTACAATTTATTTCCAATGCCGAGTAAAATATTGTTGCACACTTGCATGTTACCATTGACAATATATGAGCCATGGAAATATGTTCAGTTGGTTGGAGATCATCCCAGTCCACATTTCACGATATATTGAGGACGATTAAGTAGTGTTTTAAAACTCGAAAAGGACTGGTGATTCAGTTGAAAAACCCATGCATTGGACGTCAATTAGGTCAAAATCGTTTTATTAGACAGGGCAAA